ACACGTGGGGCATGTCCTACCTTGTACCTTTCGTCATCGTAGTTGCCGTGGTCGTAGTTACTGAAGTAGTTGTGGCTATGGATGTCCTTGCCGTGGTAAAAATGAAGTTTAAAAGAGTAAAGTACTGTAAATTCCCAGTCCATTTGTACCACCAGAAGACTACAGTGTCATCCTCTGAGAACTCTAGTAAATTTGGGCGGGAGTGAAGGATATATTACCCCTATGATGGCTCCTGTTGCGTCGTAAAGTCAGTCGTAGCGTCATTACAACATGTATCTAGGGACACTTTCTAGCAAGGTGGTCCATTGGTCGACATGCTTCTGTAGCCCTCGAAAAATTTTGTTTTTATAATGTGCTGACTCGGTCACTACCACACTCACTGACTTACATGTACAAATATATTTCGCTGTCCGCTCTCCCTCCCTCCCTCCCTCCCCCAATCCCCCCCTCCCTTCCCCAATCCCCCTCACTTTCAAAAGACCCCCCTCCCCCCTCCCCATCCCACACACGGCTGATTCACTACACAGTATATTATTAACTCACGCCCTCATCAAGGCTTCCAAAGGACAAGAGGAAGCCCACAGGATTCACAAGGAGATAAAAATAGCATCCTCCTCTCTTATCCTTCGTTCCAGCGTTCCAGACAAGTTCACGAGACTTTATTTACTGGAGTCGAGGTGTTGAGTTGGTTCTTCTATTGTGGTGGTCTGGGGTGTTTTTTGTGAGGTGATAATGTGTTTTTTTGTGTGTTTTTTTATGGGATAGGGGAGGCAGTGGGAGCTATTGTTACTAGTGATTGACTTGGTTGTTTTTTTTTTGTGTGTGTGTGTGTGAGCATAACACAGCAAACACACACACACACACACACACATACACACGCGCGCAATCACAGCATCCCTCTCTGCATGACCTACCAGAAATACATCACGTATGCATTCATGGTATGAGTCAACTGAAGGCAAATGCAGGATGGAAAACATTATAGTAAGGATCTCCTGGTGATTGAGAGAGAGAGAGAGAGAGAGAGAGAGAGAGAGGTGGGGGAGTGAGAATGAAGGATGCTCAGTGAATGAGATCAGAGATATCCTACTAAAGGGGGAGAATAGGAATCGACTCTCTCTGCTAATATCCTGTGACATTGTTGGTAAGGTTTGGGATCGTTATATTTTAATGGTGAAGGTATGCCTAGAGGAGGATGTTATGTGAGCCAGAATTCATATAGGTGTTTGTTTGTTTGTTTACTAGAAGATGGAATAGGGAAGGAATGGATTGAAAACAAAAGTGGGGGAGAGGATAGATGGAGGAGGAAGAGAGAGGAAGTGTAATGTATTGTAAATGAGGAGAGGAGAACCAGATGAAAAAAAAGAGACGAAGCTAAACATGAACATAGGATAGGTAAGGATAGAAACGTAGGTAGGTAGAAAATGGAAGGATGGAGGAAAGATAGGTAGAATAGGTAGGGATAGATAAAGAGGATAAAGAATGAATAGACGAGGATTGATGAGCGCAATGATACACGTTATCTAGGTGAAAAATGTCTCTTTAGGAGGAAAATTAGGTCTGAGTTTCTAATCTCCATGTAAATTAGTCTCTCTCTCTCTCTCTCTCTCTCTCTCTCTCTCTCTCTCTCTCTCTCTCTGTCTATCTTTTTATCTCTCTCTCGAAGATAAATGAAAACGATATGTTAGTAAAAGATGGTGTGGATAAGGAATAATGAATAGGAGAGAGAAAGAGAAAGAGAGAATCTGGAAGAAGAGGAAAGAGTAAATGAAAAAGAATTAAAAGAGATTGAGAGAGGAAAACAGGTGAGACACTCTTACACGAGAGAGAGAGAGAGAGAGAGAGTAGGTGGAAAGAGAGAGGGGTAGAGAGAGAGGAGGAGGAGGAGGAGGAGGAGGAGGAGGAGGGGAGGAGGAGGAGGGGAGGAGGCCACATCATTATTCAGATCATCTCCATAAATAAAACTCATGTAAATTACTTCACAATCTTCTTGCTCACGATTGGCGGGAAGTTCTGGTCGGGTGGGTGGGTGGGCGGCAGAAGGGATGGGTGGGTGAGTGGCAGGAGGGATGGGTGGGTGAGTGGCAGGAGGGATGGGTGGGTGAGTGGCAGGAGGGATGGGTGGGTGGGCGGCAGGATACCTACAAATAGATGAATTAGATAAATAGACAGACAGACAGACAGACAAAATGATAGAGTGCATAGTGAAGCAAAACTGAAAATCATCCCACAGAAAATTAATTTACCGCGCACATTTCCCCCGTACTAGAAATATCGAAAACAACAATAAAAAATAAATAAATAAAAAAAAATTAATAAAAAAAAACATGATTCACAGTTTATCAACAACATCCGGGGATTGAGAAATTAAAACACACACACACACACACACACACACACACACACACACACTATAAAATGTAAACATCCTTTCACATAACGTCACAAACATTTATTGAGAGAACGTCAAAACGAGAAACATTTTTCTAAACACAGACACATGTTGTGTAGAATAATAATGACAACACCAGGCATTTAAAATATATTGTAATGGAGTTGGCGTTGTGTTTTTGTTTTATATATATATATACTATGTACTATACGTTTCCAATTACGCTATATAACATTCATTAATTATCTCTTGATATTTGTTGTACTAGGGAGGCGGACGAAAGACAGACGACAGCACACTAACTATTTGTTTTAATTCGTCAAAATCAGATGAGTGAAATAATTTGTGGAGGCATTTTGTGTAATTTGGTGATATATTTTTGTCTGTCAGCTTATTAGTTTGTCTGTCTGTCTGTCTGTCTGTCCCACTCCCCCTCCCCCTCCCCCCTTTTTTTTAGATTATTTATCTGTGTGATTTTTGTAGTCGATGGGAAAAAGTGATGATGTATCTGCCATTATTCCTCTAATGAGACGTTAATTGCTTATGGGTTTTGAGTGATGGTCTTAGCTCATATACTATTGACCCAATGTAATGCTCAGCTAAACATACACACGAAGACTTATACTATTTACCTAAAGTGAATATATCAGAAGGAACTGTCTGAGAGAGGATATATTGCAACACGTTATATCCCTCGGTATAAAGTGTCATATTACTTTTACTAAATATATCATTTGTGTATAATTTTGATGTTGAGTTGTGTGTTGCCTTATTTTAGTGTAATGAATTTTGTACTCAGTTACCCCAAATGCAGTGCCCGGTGCTTCTGTGTGTGTGTGTGTGTGTGTGTGTGGACGAGTGTTCATATATAAAGTGATCATGTGTACTCCTATGCACATATATGTTAATAAACACACGAATAGAATGCCGCCACAATTACCATAACATAATTTAATTCATTTTCAACTTGTTAAAAACAGAATATATCAACACTACATAATGTGCTGGAGGCCAATAAACGCCACATTATGCTGTCAGTTATGTGCCGCCGCGCCACAACACACCGAATTTACACTTTATTGAATATCAGAAATAATGTTGTATACCCAACCAACAGCGTGTAGACAAATGGGAGAGGAGGTCAGGTCAGGTCAGGTCAGGTCAGGTCAAGAATTAGTTACTGTTTCCATCTGGTCTACTTTCCATTCTAACTAATATCCTTAACATGTTCTCAGATCATTGTATATGTATTTATTTATTCAACTGTCATGTGAGATAGCTGTTTATTAACCCCATACAGACGTAAACACAACTTTCAGACACTTTTACACTTATTCACACTATTACACTATTAACTACCAATTGGACCTTCCTAACAATCCTTTAGACATCTTGAATTCTCACTTAACCTAACCTAACCTAACATTAACAAATCTATGAACAGACTTGCGATTATATGCACGGGCTCTGGTATAATGTGTGCGAAACATTATACAGCACCTTAGAAACATTGCTTCTATCTTGAGGAATAGTTAGATAAACATTTATTTTGTAAAATCGTCTGAGAAATTCACATTGGTTAGGCATGTGTATAAATATTATATGTTTACGATGTACTTTAATATTGCAGGTATACAAAGAGTGGTGAACAACGAGTCTATTCGATCAAGGATAAGTAATAGATGGATGGCAGGTGTAGGTGGAGGATAAGGTGGCAGGTGTAGGTGGAGGATAAGGTGGCAGGTGTAGGTGGAGGATAAGGTGGCAGGTAAGACGTAGTTGTATTCGTTCTCGTTGGTGGATGATGAACAAACTTTTCATCCGTACACAAAAAAGTATGATTTACCCCTACGATCATCCTATACAGAAATACTTTCTTTTTCCCCGAGTGAGTGAAGTGCCACTTACTAAGCTGATAAATTTAGTTATAGAGTTTCATACCTCGCAGAGCTGAGTGGGAATCAGTGATAAAATGGTCTTTAAACACGGAATAACTTGTAGATTTTAATTCCTAAAGCTAACAAAATATTCAGGAACTTTCACGCACTCAAACAGGTAAAAATACATGCAGTAATATTTATATAACTTTCAATATTTTTGTTTGTGAATTTTGAGTTTTATCTGTTTTTTATAACATACATACATACATACATACATACAAGTAAAATCTAGTCACTCTAGGCCAGGTTGTTGCCTCATACACACACACACACACACACAAGTATAGACTTTCACAAGAACGTTATTTCCTCAGTAAGACGATTGCAAATTACTCAATCCAAGCCCTAGATCCTGACACACACACACAAACACACAAACACACACACACACACACACACACACACACACCTCCAGGGAGACACATGCACCACATTGGACACATACTTTGATTGTCTAGAAAAACACGTACACACAGAAGACATACATGTACGTATAATGTTGGTATATACACACGCTGGACACGTATTATTGCCGTTCTCCAGAATGACACATACACACAATAACATACATGCATATCCAAGTTGACACACACACACACACACGCACACACTGAATGACATACATACATACATACATATACAATAATTATGAATATATAAAGTCGTTATATTTATGGATGGACTTTTATTATAATTAATTAGATTTGGAGAACATTTATTAACAATTCCATATGAAAGACAACTAATTCTGTATTATGAATTACATATATATGTCAAGTTCACTGAATTACAATGAACCCTCCATCAACAAATATTCATCTGACTGTCATTATAATTTGACTCAGAATCACACATTTACAAACATGAATTAAGTACGTTCCTAAATTGTGCACCCTTTTTTTTAAATCCCAAGTATCAGATTTTACATGACGTAGTGTTAAAAATTAGTCAGACACGACACGACACGACGCGACATAACAACCACGGACTGACCTACTATAGAAGGTAAGTATTGATTGTTGTTTTCTGAGACAGTTTCATCGATGCTTCTGAGTTCAACAGGTAATTCAGTAGTTATGCTTACGTCAGCTCGTCAGTGAGTGATATATTCAGTATGGTATTTGTTCACTCGTGTAAACTTTGCCACTGGGTCAGGGTAGTTCTCGTAAATGACTATTGACTGTACGTGTAATTGGTGTCCTTGTTTGTTGTACTTCCTCCCATTTATTGTGCACCTTATTTTCAACACCAGATTTGGAAAGTGTCGAATCCTCCCGCCATGGCGTCGTAGCTTCACCATCCCACCGAGTTCTCACGTCATCAGTTTAGGCTACTGTTTAGGATGCGTCGTGTGAATTTTTTACTCGAGTTCTAAGATGCCTTAAAAGCCTCGAGGGATCCTGTGATATAATTCTTGAAGATTTAAGATGTTCTGGGAGGGTCGAGGCAGCTGTCCCAATCTGGCCACAGGCGATCTTTAAGACGGCGATGGTACTGCTGAAGATTGCGGAAGTCATCTGGCAAGAAACAACAGTATTTAGTTTTATCACTCGTTTCACTTTTCATCCGCGCACCGATAGAGTTGTGGGAAGGAACAGAAGGCTCCATCCGCCGTTAAAACTAATTTGTTAATGCATTATCTTACACGAATATTCATTGGGTACAAAACAAGTCATCATCAATACGTGGGTTTTACTGATGACAAGTGATGTTTGTTACAGTGCCGGGGATGATGTCGTATGCACCATGACGTCCTCTCCTTGCTTGACGTCATGAACAACTATTCTTAGACTGACACTCACAAAGGCAAAGATAGACAGGGGATAAACAACACACAAACACAGCTGTCCTTTGATGGGTTAATCCTGTGACGTGTTGGTATAATGTTATCATCTTGAAACCTCAGGATCTGTATTCGTAAATGTTAATTGTGAATGAATAGATTGAAATATCCTACTACAGTATTATCTGAAGAAATAAGTTTGAGAAAAAGGTAAAAATCTTCAGACACAAACTTTCACTGTAGTTCAAGATTAATAAGACATGAAATATTCCCCAAATTATTCTGATTTTTGTATTACTCAACAACCTTTCAAATCGGTAATAATTAATGAACTTTTAATCATAGTTTGCCAGATGACTCACTATTAAGCATGATGATGTAGGGTGATCCGGGGTAATTCCACAGAAGCTGAGATAGAAAGCCGAACACTGTGCAGTCCACCTCACATGGCTCCTCCCCCATCAGGAAAGGCTTCTCTCCTGCGTCACCAGAAGAGATTATTTAACACAGATGAAAGTCAGATACAAGTATGTTTTTATAGTTAACGAAGGAAGTGATCATTAATGTGAGTAGACAAACACTTCATACCAGTTTCTAGCTAAACAGTAAATACATCTTCAAGAAACTGGAACAATTTTAACTTATCACTTAACTTGTGTATTTATCGAAGTTGGAGAAACATAACAGTAAAAAAAGATGACTGACTGGCAAATTTCAATAAAAAACTTCTTTATCCTTCCATTTACCCAAGTAATGAGAGAGAGCAGCCAGGTCCTGTTTGACCATGTGCTGCACCTGACTGTGAGTGTGTCTTCCTACGCCTTGTATCTTGAGCGCCTTGATCATCCTGCGCCGTAGATAAGGAAACAGGAGGTAGTAGTAGAGGGGTATGTGAGACATGCCCTGCCTTATCCCTTGTCCGTAGTCGGTAACGTAACGCCAGTCCCGTAGACACCTGTCAGAGAAGCTTCATGTAACTAAACGAAAAAATAGTTCCATTTTCTTGTGGTGAAATACGAAAAAGTCCTCAGTCACCTGTTCAAGTCTTTAACTCGTCCATAAGTGATACTCAGTCCTACCATGCTAGGTGCTCGCTGACCATTAGGCTAAATGCCCTCGCTACCGCCTGCTGCTCCTTCGTCAGTAGTTTGCTCTCGAAGTTCTTGTCATACTGCCGCCCAAGTCGTTCCATGATCAGTTGTGAGTCAGCCACCTCCTCACCATTAAGAGTAATCCAAGGACACAGAGCTTTGGGTCCTAAAGGTTCTTCATAGTCCACCTGAGGTAATGACGAGTACGAGTGTTAAGCCAGAGTCCAGGTACAAAGGACTCGGGGGTCAGGAGGGAGACAAAGATAATTAATAAGGGAAGACAGATATTATGAGTGAGTCTGAGGATATCCTATCAGGGAAGTTAGAGTGAGTGTTAAAAGTAATTTCCTAATTAACTGTAACTCAGATCTTAAAAGTAATTGTAGTTATAACTAATTAATTTCTCCCATAACCTTAAGTACAATATAGTCATTGTGGTGAGGTTGGAATAGTTAGTCTACTTATGTCAATTGTCTAAGTATAATATTTACATAACTTAAACACAATAATATTATCATTACCATAGTGCTTAAATATCCGACTAATGTTTACACTCAACTTGTCATCACAGGTAGATAATCATCAATACCTCGTGATACTGAAGACTGTCTACCTAAACATTTTCAGTGACTAGAAAATCTTTAAGTGTGTGTCATATTGTTCCTCACTCACAAGATCTATTGTGTCATAGTCATAAACTTAAAGAATAATTCTTGCACCTCACTTACCTGGTATGTGATCTGAGCAAGGCGGAGGTAAGTCTCGAGCTTCAAGACAAAGGGGGACATGTTGGGGGTGTAGCGGCCCTTGGGGAAGGCGTGTACTATCACTACGTCCTGCCCAGCGTTGGCCCACCTCTCCCTGCCGGGTAACTGAACACATTACTGACGTGTAACGTTAAGCCTAGACAAACATGAACACCATAAATTACGTATTACAGTGTATCAAGAATTATGGATAAAACGTGTTTAATATAATTGGGTGTTTGGAAAGGTAATTCTACAACCTTCTCTTCTTGTGGACGTAGTAGCGGTAGACGCGAGCAGCGCCCCAGAGAAGGAGAAAAGCCACCCCCAAAGACCTCTTCCTCGTCCGACCACACATCCACCGCACACCCCCACACACCCACACAGCGCCACCACCTGCTGCTGCCACACCCTCCATGCTGCAATACCACATAATTATACTATATAGTGAGGCAAATATCGTAAACGGTGCAACTACCTGCCAAAGTGTTGGTACTGTCTCAGTGGCCATAAATGAAATACCATGAATAAATATGGAATAAATATTATGACACAAGAACAGTGAAGAACTTCCTACCAGAGAACATTGACTCACGACTGTTACATCCTCCAGGCTGGAGGTACTGTACAAAGATCAGGACGTGATTAGAGACACAAGTAATGTAACATCTCCCCCACCCCCCCCCCCTGTCCAAATTACCCACCTGTGGTTAATTACCCATAAGTTTGGAAACACTGTCAGTCAACGAATGCAATGCGTAGTGTCTCTGTTGCTACCCAGGAATCTGCCCGTACCAAGGACAAGTTGGACGACAACCCTCGCCTTGTTTAACGGCGTGAAGCACACAAGTCACATCACACACAGCACATGTATATATCACTTAACTCAAAGATCAATACCTGGCCTTATGTCCTCAAAGTTTTGTCCTGTGTAGCCGTTATAGCTACACCAACCTGGACTTGGTTTTGGACTTATCCTCTTCACCTTTCGTCTATAACTGTTGAGAAAATAGTTGTATGCACCTTCCCGGGCGAGTTCCTGCTTATCATCAGTGGTTAAGTTACCAAACGTCGCTAGAAAATGTGAATGATGCCACACTGATATAAATACGCGGTAACTCACTCAAGTTTTTAGTTGACAAAAGACGAGTATTATTTTTTCATGTCATTGATGAATTATGATAAATTTGAGTCAATAAACGTAAATTTTAAAAGACGTAATACATCCATATCGCAGTGGTTACAGAGTCTCTTATACTGATTACATATACTCGTTGATAAAATGGTGCAATGATAAGTTGCTCTGGTCGAAACATCTTATTTGATTCCTGCTTTAAGTAACCTGTCAATCTATAACATAATACAAGTGATACATATGACGTTCAGCCTCACCTTGACTGTCTATTTGTCTATCCCTATCTAGATTCAGTAAAGGACAGTTGTTACCAAGATCACACTTGTAACAACGATTGACCTCAAAATATTCCACCGATATCAAGGTTTGTTATGAATAGTTTAAGGTCACGGTATCAATGGTAAGACTGTACATAAAAATTGCAGGTATACTAACAGTGGTGAACAGCGAGTCTATTCGATCAAAGATAAGCAATGGATGGATGACAGGTGTGGATATTAGATGGACAAGGTGGCAGGTCATCCTACGTGTATTGGTTGCGACATATACTCGTGTGAGGCCGGAGTGAAGGAGTGAGCGGCAGTATTCTAGGATGGGTGGTCTGGGTCGGATATACGAGACGTTTGCTTTGATCAGCTGTAGCTACGATTATTAGTCCATATACTAAGCTAAGTTTCTTGCAGACGCTGCAGGTCTGTTATTGGAGGGAGAGACAGAGAACGTGAGGAACCATTGATAAGAGCGGATGCGCCACTGTACAGCAGCCTAGATATCCACATACCGGTACAACACTCTCAGTCTCAGTTTGACAGGTGCCGGGCGTAGAAGGTTCAGCAATTTGTTAACAAGTGAGTGTGATACAACAAACATTTCATCATGTAAAGGATTTTAACTTGCCTAAAAACGAGTGTGGTTGTCGTGTGTTCACCCAGAGTCAGCCAGAGAGTGCATGTGGACTTTCTATAGGTCTGGTACACTGTTACATGGTGAAGGGTGTTGGCCTGGACGTATGATTGCCATGTTCAGAAATTACTTTTATCTTATTTTTTACTGGTGCCCAATTACAAGTGATGATTTTTATTAACTTTATAACTCGTGGTTCTGTCAGTTGTGTGTACGTTAAGGAAGCCAGCTATACGTGGCTATCATTGGTAGAATGAAAAATATTTTCCGTGATAAGCTGATGTGCTGTAATGTGCATACCACGTCCACATAATTTGAATGTTTTTTCTATACCGACTAAATGAATTAACACAAAATTAACTTTTACCAGGGTAGGAGTTAATTTAAAGAAAGTAATCACTTGCAGATTTTTATGAAAATTTTTTATCAGCGCCAACAGGCGTAAACAACACTGCCACTACCTGACTCATTCTCTCACTGACGCAGAAACTGTACTCAATGAAGGGGAAAATTTCCTAGTTATTATTTTTTTATTTATTTATTCATTTATTTTTTTGCCGGAATTACATCGCAGTTCGCATTTAAAATTTCCCAAAGAATTGTTATCTTTAATTTGGGTTTAGTTAGTAATATTTTTTATTTTCGTTTACAGGATGAATATGGGGGGTGAAGTAGAAACGAGTGTGTCTGAAGGCTGGCAGTGGAGTAACCTTGTGCCAGTCATCACAACCCTCGTCATCCTAGTAGGGGCGTCACGCACCTATAACATCATCGTCAAAACCAACCGCAGGTGAGAACATGCGTGTGAATTACTCAACCTACACATACTACCCATGTTAAAAATTCCTTAGCGATAAGTATAACTGTCCTGAGCGTTAATTAAATGCTCTCTCATTTATGAAAACCAATGTATGAGATGGATATTACAGAAAGCTATTTTAATTTTTGTCTATTTGAATTATTAGATGTTTTTAAGGGAATAATACGAGAGTAAATAAAGAATAAGGAGGTTGTGTGGTCAGGTGGAGGTGGTGTGAGGCGGGGCGGGATGTAGTGGTGCTTCACTGCCCAGGAAGAGGACGCTTCGCCCCCAGTATGTCTCCCTTCGTTCTCAAGCTGGAAACCTTCCTACGCTTCGCCAACATAACTTACAAGGTAACTACAGTAATGTATTGGGTTGTGAGCTAAGTTAGGGTTTTTATATCATCGCTAAATTCAGTGTTAAAAATTCTCCGTTAGTCTTTTAAGTTCACTTCGACCTCGAAATCTTTGCAGTTGGACTTCGAAGAACCTTTTGGAGTTAAGGATAAGACTCCGTGGGTGACCTTCAATGGGGAGGAGCTGACAGACTCGCAGCTGGTGATAGAGAGATTCACCCAGCACTTCCACCTGAAGAACACACTGACGAAGGAGCAGCGAGCCGTGGCCAAGGCCTTCACCACCATGATGGACGAACACCTCATCTGGTGGGTGACACTTGTTCCTTGTCGACTGGGTTTTTTTTTCATCTTATTAGACAAAAATTTTCCCTTTATCCTTATTTAATAAGACAATCCTCGGTTGTTCCCCACGCGGCGAGACTGGAAACTGCCACATTCCTTCGTCTTCATCTGGCGATATCTTCACATGTATTTTATATCTGGTGAGACATGTACCTCATGTGTACCTCTCACAGCTTATAAAGTTAAACACTTTGCTGAGACACAACTACTCGCCAGCCACATCTAACCAGCACCCTCCTCCAGGGGCCTGAGAGTGTGGCGCTACGATATCGACCGCGGCGCTGGATTCCGGGAGTGCTTCCACCATCTGCCCTTTTATATGAGCTTGGGCATTCCAGTCATATGCTGGAAAATGAGAAGGGCACTGTGGGAGCAGGGCATCGGCCGCCACTCTTTCAAGCAGGTCCAGGACTTCGTCAGGCAGGATTTGACGGCCGTGTCTGACTTCTTGGGTAGGTTGTGTAACTTCACCGAGTTTGGCTATGCCACCAGGTTGTCATACTTTTAGAAATGCGTCTTTTTGTCTATAATAACTTAAAACAAATTTATGTCATTACTATATGGTTATAAACCTTTGGATTTAGCTGTGACACGAAGAGGGAGGGGGGGGGGCAGGCAAACTTGTGTGTGTGTGTGTATTACGTTACTGTTAATCTGGTCACTTCATTACCCTCCCTCACCTTTGTTTATGTTGACGTTGTGCTCACTTCGTCACTCTCATAACCCGCCCCTCTCACCTGAGCACTCCACCATAGCGACCCCTGACGGTAAACAACAGACTTGATTATTTGGGACGAATTCTGCCACTTGAACTTTAGTCGATAACCTGGTGACCAACTCTTATCAGTAGCGTTCCTCAGCTGCTCTCACTGATTACACTTTCCTTGGGATAGATTTAGGCTTCATGTTTAATTTAAATATTAGTGTTATGGACTTCACATTGTAGCTTCATCTGCGAGCTTGATTTTGAGGTAAATGTATAAATAATAAATTACTCCATTCCCATAGGTGACAAGAGCTACTTGATGGGGGAGGAGGTCAGCACCGCGGACTGTGTGGTGTTCGCCCACCTGGCCAACATTGTTTACAACTACCGCCGCTCACCCTTCCACATCATGGTTACTGGTACGTCTCTCTCTCTCTCTCTCTCTCTCTCTCTCTCTCTCTCTCTGAAGTAATATAAGTGGTTCCTCAGATTTCATTACAACCTAAATTATTTATTATATTTATTACCTGATACTAAGTTATCATAACAAGAATACCTTTTCTAACTAAATCAACCCCTAACTTGTCCCCAGAAATGGAAATACTGCTTGTGTTAGGTATGACTAAACTAACCTGTGTTGCAAAAGTTAATTCAGGCGTTGGTATGAACGTATAATATGACCATCGATCAGTATAGAGACACCCGATAACAGTCCAATAGTTGCACCATAATGCTCATAAAGTTTCATATAGGCTTACAAATATAATAATGCTGTTGCTAACGATAGTATGTGGGGAAACATATATACCTGGACTTTTATTTGTGGTTTAAAACGTAAATAACTTTTGGTGTTTATTTATTTGTAAATTTTATTGTGCAGAGGAGCTGGTTAACCTGCGGGAATATGTGGAGCGCGTCAGGAACACTGTGTGGCCCGACTGGCAGAGGTGTTTGGATCCACCACAGAATCAGCACCTAGACATACCTGACTCCATGAGATTCGGAAATATTCTCCTATAAATAAACTGGTCAACTTAAGGTGGAAAACTAAAGGCAGCAACTCTATATAGTGACAGCAAACATTTTCATACAAACAGTTCAAGTTGAAGACACTTTTGGAAGGTGTAGTTGCTTGAACGAACTTGATTTGATTCTTTAGTGGTTTGCCTTACGCTACTATAGAGGATAAGTGACTTCATCAGTCATCCTGTCTAAGTCAGTATGTGCTTATTGATGGGGTTACTTTAAGACTGTCATCCTGTAATTATCAAAACTTGTAGGTACAAATAAACATTAGCTGCATCACCTGTATTCAGTACGGCACTTCCTATGACAGGTGCTCACTTGCCACACTCACTGTCTGTAAATATCAACACGTATTAATACAGGTTTACACCAAAGAAAATAGTACCCTGAAATGCACACAACAAATCATGCACGTATTAACTTTGTCTGAAATCTAACAAAAAAAATATTAAAACAAATTAGGTAGTTTAGTTCTGATCTAACTCTTAAGAACTGTGAGGTAAACTTTTTCGGACTGAGAATTGTGAACTCTTGTATCAATCTGCCAGAGAGTTGCGAAGGCACTGAGTTTAAGTGAGCTCCTTCAAAACCAGACTTGACCAACACTGGAGCAGGTACAGGAGCCAGTACAGGCCAGTACTTGCCAACAGTGTGTAACAGAGACGTTACCGACCGCCCAGGAGGATAAAAGTAAAATTAAAAAACTAGGGCTGGCTCTGGCCACCTTAGACACACTCTAACGATTAAATAAACAACAATGAGACGGACGTGAGCTGATTAGTAAACAGACCTTCAAAATATTGTTCGTCGTCATGAACGAGAAAGAGACGCCTAAACTACACTCTCACTTTCAGTCCTCGTACTGAACACACCCAGAGCCTGTGAGTTGCCAGCTAGGGATCGCGGGACAGTCTGTAGGTGTATCTCGGGTTACTATCACAGAGTGGCGAAACAGCTGATTACACGTGAATCAGGCGTTTGGAATATTGTGTCATAATCAGTAATATATTATCAGTTAGAGAATTGGTGTCGAGGCAGGAAGGTGAGAAGTGTGTGTGTGTGTGTGTGTGTGTACACCAATACAGGTATAGTATAAGGATTTCAATCGCCTGTTGACATCTTAACACGCAGTAGGTAAATACTGCACATTGTATCGTGTCATCTTTAGCTCACGTGGTTTAAAGGAAATGCCAAGAGATAATCGCTACCCTGCCAACGTCCACGTCATCCGGTCAGTTTAGTATGTGGCTGGTTTAGTAGCCTTGAGACGAACACTGTCAGCTGGCCTCAGTCACCTAGTGCCTGTAACACAAATCCTTTTTGTTAAACTCGTGCTCGTTGTGTGTCGTTTTCATCATTGACAGGATAAAGTTTAGTGTCATTTTCATCTGTGGTGGTAAATAATAGTGTCGTTGTCATCACTAATATAGTGAAGAATAATGTCATATTCATCTTTGACTGATATATTGTAATTTTCTTTGTGACTATAGTGATGTTTTTATTAGTCGTACGGGATAGTGTTATTATCTTGGTGGGCGGTAAAGTAGTGTTATTTCCTTAGATAGTGTCACTTTGGTGTTATACTAGTCTCAAACATATGTTCAGTTTGTGTCATTTTCTGTAAAAAAAAATACTTTTTGTCATTATCAATACCAGTTGCCGTAAAACTTTATATATATATATATATATATATATATATATATATATATATATATATATATATATATATATATATATATATATATATATATATATATATATATATATATATATATATATATATGCTGATAACCACAAAGACTGTGGTACCAGTCTGTACTCACCCCTGAAGATGTGAATTACACGGAAGCACTTGGGAACTTCGTGTTTTCTTCTTTCATTGTGGTTATCAGCATATACCTGGATCACGCGCACCTACAGTGATTTACTTGCATATATATACCGTATAAACATCCTTAAAAAGTCGTATAGTGTTAATATGTGTTGTTTATAAACTCAAATTTACCCTTGATGGCATGTTAAAATAATGCAACAAAATTTTACTGTTTTCCCGCCTCAACTGCTTAGATGATTTACGCCGTTATGTCAGAGGTTATCGGTTGATAATTAGCGACGGTTATCCAAGCGCTAATTGACTGGTAAGGCGTCTCAAAACACTATTCACTAAGTCAGTTTACTTTCCCTCCAACAGATGGCAGGAGTGAGCGAGACGGAGGCGTCTTGTGGGTGGGTGTCCGTTGTGATGACCGTGGCGCTGCTCCTGGGGTCCGTGTATGTGTATCGGTACGTGATCAAGATGAACAGAAGGTACGTGCATGGCCAACAGGAGAATACTGTACGTATGAATGAGGTCTTAGGAACTCTCTAAAATATTGAGAATTTCCTGGTTTCAGTAACAGATAAAAATGATGAATTTTGTGTTGTATATTTAGGGTTTTGTATAACGTTATTAACTTATTAGGCCAGCATAGTGTACTTTACTGTGGATGTGAAATGCGACTTCCTAAAGAAAAATAATGGGGCAATTTTATAAGAAAAAATGGATAGACAGCTTTTGGGGATGATATTTATTTTTGAAATAAAAGGTAATGTCAGACAAGTCCGCCTCAGTATAATGTTGGCGAGACAGCAATGCTAGCAGTACCGTTAAGTTAGTAAGGTATAGAAATATACAGTGGTTGGAATATATTGAGAGTGCGTGGAACAATGAGGTGCTTCCCCGAGAAAACTGCAGACTGTAATTTAATTGAAAATGTCCAAAAGAGGGCCTCCTGACTGGTGCCTACATATAGAGCACCTCAGGTACCCAGGGAGATTAGAACTCCTACAGTTGCCTAGCTTATACTAAAGATGGTCACCTCAGAGGACATTACTCAGTTTTGTGTTCATACCTGGAACTAGCGGATGCCCGCCCCACAAATTAAAAAAATTGTCAGAACAAACATTTTTGGAGTGAGAGTGTGAGATTATTGAAAAGAAGGCTTGGCCAACACTGAAGCAGGTTTAGATACATTCTGACCATCCATTCAACCAGCTATGAAACTGATCAGTGGCGAAGAGGATAAAGTGAAGAGACGGAGGATAGGGAATCATTTACTACCCTAGGGCTAGACTTTAACAGCAACGACGAATATTCCTCGTATCAGTATATACCGTTTTCTGTCATACCAGTGGTCGTATTCAAAGAAAATATCATTACGGTAAACTAACAAAAACCTATAATTAAAAAGTCGATAGGGTGCTTTTGTTATTGTTTACCATACACCATGTAAGACAAAAGAATTTTAATGATTGTAATTAGTTTGAATTACGACCATCTAACACTACTATCACCACCACCAACTTACACCACCACTCACTACCACCTACCACCTAGCATCAATTAACACCACCATCATCACCAATTTCCCCCACTATCTACCATCATTTTCCCCCACCACCACCCATCATCACCTAACACCACCACTTACCCCACCTCCTCCCGCAGAAGGAGGTGGCGCCAGGCAGGGAAGGACGTGGTCGTGGTTCACTGCCCTTCCCCAGGACTCTTCACTCCCTGCGTCTCACCCTTCGTCATGAAGTTCCTCACTTACCTCCGCCTCGCCCAGATCCCTTATCAGGTGTGTGTAAGGAACTAAGTTAGTGACTGTAAGGGTACCCGTATGTAGGTGACTGTTTATGTGGGTGACTGTGTTTTCTATTTATGTAGGTGACTGTTTATGTGACTGTTGTTGACTATAAAGACCATATAATTGTACCGTAAGTTATATTTATAGGAGACTGTATATAACTGTATATAAGTGACTGTATGTACAAAAGTAACTGTGTATGACTATGTAGGTGATTGTACGTCACTGAGTGTAGGAAGGTGGATGCGGTTGTCTGGTGTTGACTAACGGATGAAGGGTTTAATCTAGAGAGGAGATGAAGTTCCTTAATTAGGTGGGGCTAAAAAAAAACTGGAGGGTTGGAGTTAATTTCCACTCAAGAGAATTAGTTTTATAAAGAGGTAGATGTGTGTGTATACTGTTTGTTAGTGTACAGTACTTTGTTTATGTTCATTTCCTTTGTGTTTTAGTGTTGTTTGTTTATGTTTGTGGGGTTTTGTATATATGTAGAGAGAGATCCTAAATTTTGCATAACACACCTTTATTTTTTTTCGCCCACTGACGTAACCATACCTTCATGTCTTCTGTACTCCCCAGCTTGATCATGAAGAGCCCTTTGGCCAGCGAGGTTTGTGTCCGTGGATGACGGTGAATGGGGAGGGGCTGGCAGACTCCCAGTTGATGATTGAGTGGCTGGGACAACACTTCCATAAGAACTTCACCAAGAGACTGACGGAGACGCAGCAGGCAGTGGCCAGAGCCTTCACCATTATGATAGACGAACACCTCTGCTGGTGAGGCAATAATTACTGACAAGTTTTTTATGTCACGTTTTGTTTTATTTATACAGTACTCCATAATACTACTTTCATTGCCACCACCACTACTATAATTGCCACAACTACTACTATAATTGTCACCACCACTACCCTATAATTACCACCACCACCACTACTACCATATACCTACACACCCAGGTGTCTGAGGGAGTGGCGATTCAAGGTGGACAACGGGAGGAACCTGGTGGAGGCGATGAGGCAGCCCTGGTATGTGCACATCTTTAAGTACTTCTTCGTGGAGGCCAGGAAGCAGACCCTGTGGCACCAGGGTATGGGCAGACACACCCATACCCAAGTCCAGCATATGACCCAAATGGATCTGCACGCCCTCTCTACCTACCTTGGTCAGTCAGTCAGTTTTAGTTCGCATCTTAGAATAACTTACGAGATATGACTTTCACTTTAAACCATTGAGTACACTTATATATGTGACGTCGTAGTTCATAAAACAGGTAACATAAAGGTGTGGATATTACAGGTGAGAAGCCCTACCTGATGGGGGAGGAAGCCAGTGAGGTAGACTGTTCCATGTTCGCCTTCTTGTCTAATATCTTGTACAACTACAGCCGCTCCCCATACTACACCACCATCACTGGTTAGTACCGTGCATTGTTGTTCTTGTGGTGGAGGGAAGATAAGTTTTTTTTTTTCCATGTTAAATTTTTGCTTTGCTACTTTATGTTGTCCATCGTCTTGTACAGATAGCACCGCATGCAGTACTCCTATCTTAAATGTTAATTAAATGTTTTTCTATTTTTTATGGTTGTGGGAAAATACTTAATATTATTGTGACTATCGAAGTGTCGTATTGCCTTGTCTTGTTCAGTAT